GCCCCTGCCCCTGTCCCCACCACTCCTGCCCCTGCCCCAGCCTTCCCCGCTGCTCCTGCCCCTGCCCCTGCCCCCACCGCTCCTGCCCCCACTGTTCCTGCCCCACAGCCTTTGAGTGCAGCCCCTGTGGGTGCGGGTGCTCGGGGTGGCCCTGATCACCGGGGCCCCATGGCGGCGGGGGGAGGGCTGGCAGAAGGTGGCGCCGCCCGACGGGCCCTGGCCCGCGTTACCTGTACAGCTTGAGGGTGATGGTCCCGTAGACAATGGCAAAGCCCAGCATGCGCACCCAGCGCAGGACGATGCAGCGGAAAATGCTCGGCTTGAAGTACAAGATAAACACCTGGGCAAAAAGGGCGGGGGGGGAGTGACTGACTTGTTTTTCCTAATGTCCAACCTGAGCCTCCCTGGCTGCAGTATAAGCCCCTTGCTTCTTAGAATCCTAGAGCACTAGAACTGGAAGGGACCTCGAGAGTCATCGCGTCCAGTCCCCCGCCCTCACGGCAGGACCTAGTACATCCCTGACACGTGTCTGTCTAAGCTGCTCTTCAATATCTCCAGGGATGGAGATTCCACAACCTCCCCAGGCAACTTATTCCAGTGTTTCACCCTCCTGACAGGTAGGAAGTTTTTCCTAATGTCCAACCTGAACCTCCCTGGCTGCAATTTAAGCCCTTTGCTTCTTGTCCAGTCCTCAGAGGCCAAGGGGAACAATTTTTCACCTTCCTCTTTGTGACACCCTTTTAGATACTTGAAAACTGCTCTCATGTCCCCTCAGTCTTCTCCTTTCCAAACTAAACAAGCCCAATTCCTTCAGCCTTCCCTCCTAGCTCCTGTTCTCTGGACCTTTCCTCATTCTTGTTGCTCTTCTCTGGACCCTCTCCCATTTCTCCACATCTTTCTTGAAATGTGGCGCCAAGAACAGGACACAATCCTCCAGCTGAGGCCTAACCAGCGCAGAGCAGAACTGGAGAAGGACTTCTCGTGCCTTGCTCACCACACTCCTGCTTGTGCCACCCAGAACCAAGTGTGCTTTTTTTGCACCAGTGCCGCGCTGTTGACTCCTGCTCATCTCGCAGGTGCTTGCGAGATTTTATTAGATGCCGGAGACACCTCCCCAGGGAAATTAGGCATGTGCAAGGCCTGGGAGAGCTGTACCGGCTGCTGAATCCTCCGCCGGACGGTGGATCGGTGGCAGGACCCGGCGGACAGACTCCGGGTGTGATTTCCCGCTCGACTAGAGAGATGTGTGCTAGCGCCGATCAAGCGAGAGCACTGAAAATAGCATCACTGGGCTGGCATGTGCGGTGGGACGGGCTAGCTGCCCAGGGCGTGCCTTCCTTGGGGCAAAAAGAAGGTGTAACTCCCTGGTCTGAATTTGGCCCCTCGTGGGAATCTCTCTCTGTCCTGGCTAGGATCAAGGGCCCCGCAACACAAGGTCCTCTAACTGGACGGTCTGGAAAGAGGGAAAGGATTGATGTCTATCCGGCCTGGCCGCCTTTCCGAGTCAGGAGGAGGCTTGGCCCTTGTGGGGCCAGGGACAGAGACAGAGGATACAGGGAAGTAAAGAAGCAGAGATCCAAAGAGGATGGTCTCCAGCAGGATAACACCTGACGCCCGGATCCTCTGCGGAAACAGAGAGAGAAACGTGGTAGAGAATCCAGGTGGTGGGGGCATGGGCCACGCAAGCGCATGATGGATCTGCAGGGAAGCTGAAGGTGGAGAAATTATTCCGGAATGTGCCTGTACTTTGGGGGGTGGGGGTGCCCCACGGCCATCCTACCACAGCCCCCCCCTCCCAAAATCAAGCTTCAGGGGCACCCCTCTGGAATGCAACTCGTAGATGTATTCGGGGCTCGGGAGCTAATCCCACTGGCATTGCTGGAAAGTGGAGTTAAGCTAGTGCACCGGTGCAGGGGGAGGATGCACCAGCAGCAGCTGCCCTTGTCAGTGGAAACAACCAGGAGCATGGGGGCACCGTGCTCACTCCAGCGGAGAATTTTTATTTTCAATGGAGCAGGAGGGGAGGACCGAGCTGCTACCAAGAATGCTTTGCCGCCCCTAGTGCCTTCTGGATGAAGCTCCCAAAGCACGTTGCAAACTTTCATTAGGGTGTGCAACTCCCTGCCTCCCCCCACCCCCGGACTGACTGCGTTCAATAGTATTATCAACCCATTCTACTGATGGGGAAACTGAGGCACAGAGCAGGGAAAGTGACCTGTCCAGGCTCTGAGGCAGCACTTGGAAGACAACTCGGATCCCTTTGCTTCCAGTCCTGTCCTCAGTGCCCTCGGCAGAGCTCTGTGCGGCTACTACCTTTGTGTGCATCTGTAGCTGCAAAAATCAGCCCTTGGTAGCCGTGGATATGAAGCGGGTATCTGCGGATTTGCAGGGGTCTAGAAATCGACGCCTGGGCAGGGCACAGGACAGGCTCAAGCAAAGCTTTCTTGGGACCCTCCCATGCCCTAGAGCAGCCTCTGATTTTGGCAACTTCCTTTCGATGGGCACCCCGCTCGAGACATGCAAGATCTGACTGATACAGGAGTGCGGGGCACCCCCCGCCCCGCTCCAGCCAAAGTCAACAGCAGCTGCAGGTGCTCCCTGGGGGGGGGGCCCAAAAAACGGAGGCCCCTAAAAGCAGAGACCACCAAAAACGTCGCCCTCTGTGACCTGGCCTCCGAGCCGGGATTAGAATCCTGCGTTCCTCTCTCTCCGAAGACACGGCCGAGAACTCGCACCGGGCACCGGGGGGTCCGCCATCTGGCACCGAGGCGCCGCAGGGGGGAGGACCGCCCAAGAGCCATAGGGCGGGGCAGTAAAATCGCATTGCTCTGCCCAAGCCGGGGGCCTTGCCTTGCTCTTCCGGAAGTGGTAGGAGACCAGCATGCTGAGGAAGACGGCCAGCATGCAGAAGGCCTGGAACGCGAGGACGGCCGCCCGGAGGGGCCAGTCCTCCTGGATCAAACAGGGGCTGTCGTCCACGCACGTCACGCAGCCTTCCCTGCAGGGCCAGCAGGCCAGCAAGCTCCCAGCCGTCGCCGCTCCGTCCTGCCCTGCGTCCCGGGCCGAGCTCCCCTCCGGGTCTGCTGGCAAAAAGAAGACAGGTGGGAAGGTTAAAAGGTGGCTTTCGCTCTCCCCGCCAGACCGAGTCAGTCATGGGCTGGGGCCAATCGTAGCCCGAGGGGTGGGGCAAAAATCGTGATGCTTCCCGGGCATCTCGAAGGCCTGGTCCAGACACGCCGCTGCATCCGTATCACGCAGGCCAGGACTGATTTGGCTAAGCCGGTTGGGCTGGGCCCTGCAGTTCGCAGCCTCCCCCCCCCGGGCGCTGATGAAGGGTGGGGAGAGCGGAACAAGGTGAAGGGAAAGCAGGGCTCCGATCTGCCCCCAGGGTCCAAACCCCTGGCTGCTGTTCCACACTGTGGGGCAGAGAAGCCAGAGGCTTCGAAGGCTCGGCAGGGGCAGGGGTGGCGTGCTGGTGTGGCAGAGAGGAAGGCTGGCCCAGTGGTGAAGACACCAGCCTTGGGTGTGGAAGATCTGGCTTTGGCTCA